AAAGTAGGCAGAGTGGGTCAAAAGTAGACAGGGTTGGCCAAATTAGGCATGGCACGTTACAAGTAGGCAGGGTTGACCAATATAGGCATGGTCGGGCAAAAGTAGACAGGATGTGTCAAAAGTAGGCAGCTTGGGTCAAAAGTAGACAGGATTAATCAATAGTAGGTAGGGGTGGCCAAAAGTAGGCAGGGCGTGTCAAAAGTAAGTAGGGTGGGTAAAAAGTAGGAAAGATAAGTTAAAATTATGCATGGTGGTGTGAAAGTAGGCCGGGTGTGCCAATATTATGTAAGGTTGGTCAAAAAGTAGGCAGAGTGGGTCAAAAATAGGCAGTGTTGGCCAAAAGTAGGCAAGGTGGGTCCATATTAGGCAAGGTGGGTCAAAAGTAGACAGGATTGTTGGCGGGGTTGGCCAAAAATAAAAAGATCTTGTCAAAAGTAGGCAGGGTGGCTCAAAAGTAGGCAGGATGGGTTAAAATCTGTTTTTTTTTATTAAAATAACTGCTAAGAAAACCGGATTATAAATCTTGCTGTTCTTTCTTATTCTTTTAATATATCTACATTTATTTGTTACAGTCATATTTGTTCAAAGCTGTTTATGTCCATTTGTTTAAAACTTTACTTACATTTTTTTAGCACAGTTTTATCTCTTAATTGCTCAAAATGTCCTCCTTCAACATTGCAACATCCCTCGAGCCTCTCCATAACGCTATAGCACACAGCACGACAAAAATCTCTGTCTGCATCAATGTCAATAAATACTTCTAAGATGCAGTCTCTTAATTCGTTCACTGTGTGAAGATTTTTCTCATTAAGTATGTTCTTTACTACACACCCCACAAAAAAAATAAATCATTGGTGTTAGGTCAAGTGAACGTGATGGCCATCCGATGCTACCAACGTTGTGAAAGGTTTTGTTTAAGGTAGTCCCTTAATGGAAATGTTATTAAGCTATTTCCTACAATTTAGGTTTCGATGGTATTATGATTTGAATAAATTAGATCTACAACATGAAAGAAATAGTGAAGCAACTTTTGGCCCAGTCTATATAATCTTTCAAAGCGTCTATTGATTTTAGAAGCTGACAATCTTAGACACCGGGGTCACGTGTCTTATACAATGTTTGACAGTTACAAAACAAAACATGGGCTGGCAGCTGCAGTTTCATTTGCGGTCAGGGGTCTGGAATTTGCATTAATTTTAGACCCAGATATATTTTTAGAGAAGCGTTTTAATTGTGGTGCTATTCATCTGGCAAGATTTCAAGCTAAACAGTCGTGTCGGAGATGACCTGGTTTTGTCCTTTAACAATCTAAGAAGTTTTACAAATTTATCAAAGCAGCCAGGATCTTATCCTTATCACTGATGGCCTGACTTCAAAAACATTTAAGGATTTATTTTAGTATTATTTTTGACTAATTGGTTCAGACGCAAACAAAAAAATACATTTGGGATATTTGCCTCATTTTGAGTCTGAAAGGAAAATAACTTTTGAACTAGCTTATACTTGATTCATTTTTTGTTGTTTTCTTCCAACTATAAATTGAAGTCTTAAGCGAATATCGTATGAATCAACTAGAAAATTGGACCAGAATAACTTTATACTAATGGTAACTATCACATTGACTATCACAAAGAAAGGATAAAAATCCCTGTATTATTTTAAGCGCTTTGTTCGTTTTCTACGGCTTATCATTCATTTTCAAGCTATTACAACCAGGAAATATTTGTGGATTGTAAGAATGTTTTTCGCGATAATAATGAATTACTGAAACACGTCTTACTAATTAATCCATAGCAAGGGGAGAAGAAGTGGTTTCATACCTTTCCTAATAGTATTTATGCATAAATGAATATAATGAGCCTAAATGGAATTCGGCTCTCCTATTAATAATCCCGAGCCATTATCCCTTACACCACCCACACATCCAAGCTTAGAACACCTGGTATTACCAAGTGAGCAACCATCTAGGGACTGACCAGGGTCGACGTATGGGAACCGATGTTTCAATGTGATATGGCTGTAAGCCAAATTTAGTAATGTTGCGCAAAAAACCGTTATTCCTTTTTATGGCTGTAGGACGTGAGCGATGTAGGAAGAGGGCAATCAGAGCTCTCCACAACTTCCTCGAAGCAATGTTCGTCTCTATCTTAGTATACAACGTTCAAATTAAGAGAATAAATCAAGGAAAATTCTTTACATTATTCGGACTAATGTTCTCATCTTTAATGGTTGAAATGTCGAACTTTATTTCGCTCAGTGGGGAAGACTGTTCTAATTACACATGCCATGTTAATGGATGTCAGTTATCAGTTATCTGAAAGTTCTCCACTGCCTTTACCGGGTATTGAACTCACTCTCTTTGGGTCCTGTCACTGGATCTAACTAACGCCATTATCCACTGTGCCATGTGTCCTTGAGGACATCTGTGTATGAATTTCTGGTTATTATAAACTTAATGTCTACATCCATTAAACATGGCACATGGAACTAGAACAGTCTACCCCAGTGAGCGAAATAAAGGGGTCAGTTCGACATTCCAACCACCTGAAGAAGGCCGGAGCGTACAACGGCCGAAGCGTTGTAATAAATATGGCGACAAAGATGAGGACAATAGTCCGAATAATGTAAATAGAGTACATAATACCTCATCTCAGAAATATAGACAGATACTGAAAGGCCGAAACGTTGTAATAAATATGGGGACAAAGATGAGGACAATAGTCCGAATAATGTAAATAATGTACATAATACCTCATCTCAGAAATATAGACAGATACTGAAGGAAAATTCTGTTGCACCAAAATTTCAAATGGATGACACTGGTTTGTCTAAAAAATCATTTCAATGTAAAAATTCAGATATAATAAAAAATATATCTGTAAAAAGACAAGACGAATAAAGGCCAAAGGAGAACTAGACTTTACCAACTTGTTTCGTCCTCTGACAGATTTTGAGCGATCTTAAATTTAAAAGATTTGTCAAGATAAAGATATTTTTACTTGTTATAAATACATGTCGCAAAATAAAATCTTCATAAAGTCCAGTAGAGAACGAAACGCGTTGGTAAAGAACAGTTTTCGTTTTGTTTTTATTTACTCAGAGACACACGCACAACCACACACTCACACATATACAGGGTGTTCATAAAGTTCGTGTGCAGTTTAAAAAATTTAAAACTTATTTTGTAATTGCGATACAAATAATCTGTAAAAAATGTTATAAAGGTTAATGTACCTAGTTTTAAGTATACCTAAAATAACTAATGTGATTTCAGGCATTACTGTAACTCAGTTGGCAAATGTTCTCCGTGAACTGCAAAATCGTATTACCCTTTGTATTTCTAATGATGGAGGACATGTGAAAACTTAAATAAAATTTCAATAAAACCTTAAAAAATATAGATTTACTTCTTTTCTAATCCTTTTTACAAATTATTTATATCGCAAATAAAGGTATAAATTTTTAAAGTTTTGAACTTTATGGACACACGATATATATATATATATATATATATATATATATATATATATATATATATATATATATATTCTGTTTATACGTTGCTTTAATAGATACAATTTATTTAAGTAAATGATCTGGCAGCTTGCGACTATTTCCTCTATCCAAAAATCAAATCCCACTTGAAAGGTAAAAGTTGCCTATATATAGACGTGCATTTAGTTTCGTAATACGACCACTACATTGCCGACGTGTTTGGTATTAATGGCGTTAAATGACGCTTCTACTGTTTGTTTGTTTTAATAGAAAAGCTTTAATTATTTTTAGAGGCTTTTTACAGTTCGATATACGTATAGTGTCAATAGAATTTAAAAGCGTCTCCAGCGTTCTTATGGGTAACACATTATTTCCCACCTTCCAACCTCTTCGCTCACAGTCGGGACTTCTGTATCGCTACTTCCATGGATAATGCTCGGATGAATTACATTCCTTGGTTCCGCCAGTTCTAGCCTTCACCGCTAGGACTCACCATGCCACGCCCATTATAGCAAACCCCACCCCCACATTCCCTCCGTATTCCATCGGTGAGAAGTAAGTTTCACTCGTACACCTTCTGCCCACGAACCACTACCCTGTGGAACCGACTCCTAAGAGGATTTTTCCCTGATTACCACAATCTTAACCGGTTCAAGTCTAGGGTTAAATTTTATCTTCCCATCTTATCCGTATAAACTGCCTCTTAACTTAACACTCTACCTCGAGTGGCCCTCGGGCTTTGTACAGAGTAAACTTTCTGTAAAGAAGAAAACCCATTTATTTCCCTCAGAATAAAAAAATAATCATCTAGACAAAGTTGACTCTAGAATCTGCAGAAATAAACTCACTACAGTTTTCCCCACCAAACATGGTGCAGGAACATACAATCAATTAAAAGTATAAAAACAGATTATTATTATTATTATTATTATTATTATATTATTATTATTATTATTCTTTTCCGTTCCTAACTTTTTTCTATTTTCTTCTTTCATTCCATTCTCTTCTCTTCTTTCTTGATTTATTCTTCTTTTTCTTTTCTCATTTTCTTCTTCTACCTCTTTCCTATTCTTCTTCTCCTTCTTCTTCTTTTCTTCTCTTTCATCCTCTTCACTCTTTCTTGATTTAGTCTTCCTTTTCTTTCTAATTTTCCTCTTCAACCTCTTTTTCTATTTTTCTTCTCTCATCCTTCTCCTTTCTTATTTATTTTCTTCATTCCTTTGCTTCTTTATTACAGCAAGTCATTTTCTTTCATTTTCCCTGTTTTGTTTTTATATTCCCAGTGTATTTCTTCTTCTATTCTTCTTCCCAAACTTATCTTCTCGACTTCTTCTTCTTTTCTGACCTCTTCAACGGTTTCTCTAAATTAATGAGCCAATTAAACAAATTAGTAACTAATTTTAGTAATTTTTTTTTTTTTTTATTGAAATAATTAGATGGATAACAATTATTAATTGATATGATGCTGATAAATTTATGGAGAAAGGCAAATGAAAAGTTTAGACAAATATCAAGAGTCTGAGATAGATAGATAGATAGATAGATAGATAGATAGATAGATAGATAATGAGCAAAATCAGAGAAATAATGATCACAATAAGATAGATAGATAGATAGATAGATAGATAGATAGATAGATAGATATCGGTCACAATAAGATAGATAGATAATGATCACAATAAGATAGATAGATAGATATCGGTCACAATAAGATAGATAGATAATGATCACAATAAGATAGATAGATAGATATCGGTCACAATAAGATAGATAGATAATGATCACAATAAGATAGATAGATAGATAGATAGATAGATAGATAGATAGATAGATAGATAGATGTTGATTACGGCATCTTGTCAGATTGCCACTCCTCCATTGAGAATGTCATTGTCTGAAGGAATATCTGTACATAGATGCTTAATTTAGGGACATAGCTTTGATCGACACCTAAGTCCCTCTCTCGGTTCAAAAAAGTTGAGATCCAGCAACAAACTGAGGCAAGATAGTCGGCAACAGATCAAACTGCAGAGTAACAGGTGCAGAAATGGTCGTCCGCTGGGCGGTTTATATCAGAGATTTCCACAGTTAACAGGGCCTAAGCTCTTCTGGAGGTTTCTGTCTAGTTTACCTCACCCCTAGGCTTTGGTTCAAGAACCTGAGCCCACAAGGCAGTGGGTGTCCAGTTTTTTGGTGCTGAACAATCGCCGTTCATCAGAGCCCCGTCAACGTAGCCGTACTCAAGACGTGCACATGGGGTTTGTTTGATTGGGAGAAGCTGTATATTTCGCTAGGACATCTGTTCGCTTTTAACACACGTCCTCACCAGTCCTTGAGTACAGATACATACATACATACATACCTAGGAAGAGATAGATAGATAGATAGATAGATAGATAGATAGATAGATAGATAGATATGAATAGACTAAGATAGATAGATAGATAGATATGAGCAGACTAAAACAAATAGATATATATGAACAGACTAAAATAGATAATGAATGAATATAGATAGATAGATAGATAGATAGATAGATAGATAGATAGATATGAACAGACTAAAATAAATAGATAGATATGAACAGACTAAAATAGATAATGAATGAATTTAGATAGATAGATAGATAGATAGATAGATAGATAGATAGATAGATAGATAGATGAAGAGACTGAGATAGATAGATAGATAGATAGATAGATAGATAGATAGATAGACTTACATATCTGTTTGCTGTATGACTTAAGTTTCGTTGGTTACCCAACTCGTCGGGCACAAGATATAGCTTCTTATGTCGCACACCAAATGTAGGTGTATGAATATTTATTAATATATATTTCTTAGCTCTATCTAACAACATCGAGCACTATTATGTTGGCAAAATATGGTAATTATTTATTTGCTTACCTATGTATGCACACCTGCACACACGTATACGGTTGCTAATATCTAGTTATTTAATTTACCTAACCCTATACACATAGATAGATAAGAACAGACTGACATAGATAGATAGATAGATAGATAGATAGATAGATATTAACAGACTGAGATAGATAGATAGATAGATAGATAGATAGATGATAGATAGATAGATAGATAGATAGATAGATAATGACTTGTTGGTTGGTTTAGTCGCGCTGAAAACGATCAAATTTTCTTTTCAAACAGAAGAAAATAAATATCACGATTTTGAACCTGCTTCAAGATGGCGAACATTAGTCGATAGCTGTATGGAATTTGCAGACGATATCATCATGTAAGTTAAATTCACTGAGTAATGGAATCATAAACATTCACTTCACAAACAGGATTTATTTTTTTCTTTTTCAGATATTTTTTTCCTTTTTTATGAATATTATTTTTCAATTGAATTGGTTCGCTTTTGGATCGTTCATCTTTTCTTTCTGCTGCTCCCCGCTCCCCGCTAATATAATAATTAAATTATTTAGCCTACAAAATAATCAAATGTAAGAATCTAATTTTTATAATGACGAAAAAATGTATATGCCTTGTAAGAGAATGTTTTCAACCACCAGCGTACAAAATGTCTGACAGGAAAGTAAACAGCCATTTTTAATTTCTCAAGAACATATTTTCGCTGCTCAACAAACATTCAGAGAGGACTTTATTGCACATGCATGAATAGGCGTTCTACCGTAGAACTACTCAGTTGGCAGTGAAACGTTTTTAAGTGAACCTGTGTATTCACAGCTAATACCTATGCTATAATGGGAACTTGTAATGATAAATAGACGGTTCAATAAACAAATCAGTTAAGAGTGGTCCATGTTTTGGAATGTTTTCAACAGGCTGCAATCAAAAGAATTCACTGACTAAAAGAGTTCCAAAATTAGAAGATCTGGTAAAAACAGTCCGAAAATTTTCGGCCATTTTGAATATTCTAACAACCTAATCTTTATGTTCCTTTGTTGTTGTTTTTTTGTTTTTTTGGTAAATAAAACCGCCTTAATCAGGATTTGCCTGATACCATAAAGCTTAGTTTTGTCTCCATACGAATTTTGCAAGGAGGGATATTTGTGAACATGGGCGAGATTAATAACAACTAATTTATTTTTAGTTAGATCCAGTGACAGGACCCAAAGAGAGTGAGTTCAATACCCGGCTAAGGCAGTGGAGAACTTTCAGAGAGAAATTAACAGGAGATAACTGATAACTGACATCCATTAAACATGGCACGTGGAACTAGAACAGTCTACCCCAGTGAGCGAAATAAAGGGTTCAGTTCGACATTCCAACCACCTGAAGAAGGCCGGAGCGTACAACGGCCGAAACGTCGTAATAAATATGGCGACATATAAGATGAGGACAATAGTCCGAATAATGTAAATAATACCTCATCTCAGAAATATAGACAGATACTGAAAGGCCGAAACGTTGTAATAAATATGGCGACAAAGATGAGGACAATAGTCCGAATAATGTAAATAATGTAATTTATTATTCGTATTTGATTAAATATTTCGCTTGTTATAAACAAATAAAACAATAGAATCTGCGCATAATTCAATCAATCTTGAAATCACAAAGTCATGGATTGTCTTCGAACAAAATACTTCATTTGATAAAACATTATTCAAAAATGACGCAGAAACTCATTTCCTTCATTCTTGATCAGCTAAATTATGAATCTTTCGGGTTCAACACCGTAAAAGTGAATGTTTATTAAACTACAGTGGGTCCATAAAATTACTGTGTACTTTTCTAATCATATTTTTTACGTTTTAGATTTCACTCCAATATGGTTTTAACAATTAATGAACCTGTATTTCTCGTCGAACTCATCTTTTGAGGAGATGGTAGATACACAGATTTCGTGCGATTTGCTTAGTAATTTTCAGATACCCCTTTCTCCACATCGCAATGCAGTTCGTAACCTTGTTGGTAAATTTCCGGTAACAGGATCAGTAGACGATGTTGTCAGGTGGGGTAATGGATAGCGGCTCGGATTGAGGAATTGGAGAGCCGAGTTCGAATTTCATTCAGATCCGTTACATTCACTTACATCCTAATATGAATCCTCTCTTTCTCCCCCCCCCACTCACCGCCAGCTATGAGTAAATAGCAGGACAGTTTAGGTTCTATAACCTTGGGTGGCAACCGGTCTTGGAGATGGAAAATCTCTGAATTGGGTTGGGGTCCGTCAGGCTAGCTTTTCCAAGAAACATCCCTTTTACCGTGTCTGCAATACATGTTGCCCCTACGACACTCCGTGTCACGGGATAAAAAAAAATACAATTCATAACGTTGTTGATAAATTTCGGGAAACAGGATCAGTGGACGATGCCAAACGTTTGTTGCAGTTTTTTGTGTATATATATATATATATATAACTAGTGAGCCAGTCAAAATGACTTGACTCACTTTATAGTCCACCAATAGAAGGTTAACCAATCAGAAGACGTAGAATATTCAATCCGTCGTGTATAAAGGCTGCCATTTTGTTCCGTCTACCAGAATGTCCAATCCAGCTTGTCAGGCGAAGAGAAACAGAAGGACGAACTACGCTCTGCTACCTTTTACCAAAATATCCACTGCTAACCTGAACAACGCTTTCCTACTGTCTTCGAAATATTCACTGCTAACCTCTGGATTCTATACTCGAAGACGACCGTCATCATGAATAACACGTTGTGGAAGGTCAGCAATTCTATCTTAGGAGAAACTGTTAGATACTTCTGACTATATGTTGCAGAGTCTAAGAAAATCATTACGAAAATTACAGCAATTTGGTCTTGGAATTACTGCTAAGGCCACCAGACAAAAATTAAAACTCTTCATACAAAATAATAGCAGTACAAGAACAGAATGCAACTCATTATAATGGATGTGTTTACAGACTGCATTATTTCCAAAGATCGGAGACCTCCAAGCTTGCCATCTCTATATCCACCAGACTTATCTATGGGGAGCAGAAAAAGTGTATCAAGATCGTCTGTGCACACTGAGGACTTGAAAGCAGTGATAACAGTATTTCCTTTCAGTCTATTTCAAGTGAGCAACTGATTGCAGTGTTCAGAGACAAAATAAGATGCATCCAATCCTGTACTGATGCTTATGGGAATCACTTTCAACAGTGTTTATAATTTCCATTCATATTCTCATCCTGTATTCTGTATGTCTGTTAATAAAAAATATAAGTGCATAGTGACTTTGCAAACAAATAATAGACCTTGTGATGAAATATAACAAAAGGATTTATGAAATCCATTAAGATATAAACATTATGTAATGCTATAAACAGTGACTCAAAAGAGTAAATAAGTATATATGCCCTTATAACAGGTACAGTATTTTAGAATTAACAGGCAATTATCTGGCAAGTGTTATAAAAGGTGACTTGAAATGTGGCATAGAAATTCGAACGCACTTGGTATAGTAATCTAAACAGTATTAAGAAACAAGAAAATATCTTGATAAACAAAGAAAAGAGGGTTGAACTGCTATTTAATACGTTATAGCTTTATTAGTCCCTTCCTTATAAGGAAACATTTGGAATTAATTCATAGAGCAGCCAGTAATAATGTCGGCTTAAATTTATTTTTAAAAAAATGTTCCCTTCTCGGAAATACCAGGCGAAACTGCAACCTTCTCCATAGTTCACACCAGTATATTCGGATGCCATAACACACAGGAACCACTATTTCCGGTTATACCAGCGTGACAGCTCTAGTCATAACAGGAGCCTATTTGCTACTTCCCGTAGAAAATGTAAGAGAGTCCTCGAAGTCCCTGTTTGATGAAAGAATGAGGCACCGTATAGCCACTAAAAACATTGGTTCTCGTGCTTACTGGTGTCTCTGTAATAAGGTACTAAATAAGTGCAAGGTCGCTATTCCTTGCCTCTTCAGTCGATTTGAGGTGTTATCATCCACTGCTGATAAAGCTGAATGCTTTGCCCGTAAATTCTTCTCAAACTCTACTCCTGATTCTTCTGGAATCTCCCTGTCTAATGTCCCACTTAGAACTGAGTCTCTGTAGAGTGATACGCATATAGCAACTTACATGATTTCTGCTGTCATCTCTAACCCGGACCCCACAAAGCATGTGGACCTGATGGTATTCCTGTAATAGTCATTAAGAAGTGTGCTCCTGAACTGGATCCTGTTCTCTCTAAACTGTATAATAAATGCTTCGATCTCTCCTGCTTCCTGTTGGAATCATCGTCTGTTGTTCCAGTTTTTAAGAACTCTGGTGAAGCGTCTGTGCCATGCAACTATCGACCTAATAGCATTCTTTTTGGGAAGCTTCTAGAGGTCCTAATCAATAGTGAATTGTTTCATTATCTCTCATCGCAGGACCTTTTCTCAGACAAGCAAAATGTTGCTTGCTTCCTTTAGTTCTCAGTTGTTCATTCATTGGCGATTTTCACTATGGAAGATCATAATTATAAATACCTTTTACTTCGGAAACAGGAAACGTTAATGATAATTATTTTTCTCTAGAGAGT